TAGGAGCACGAAACGCAAGCCAGACTGCAACCCTTGGCGACGATGAGCTCTATACCATATTCTGCAAATCTGATATGTCGAGCCATGGACTCATAACCTGCCTTGTCCATATAAGACTTTGGGTTATCAAGGCCCTGAACCCTAAACCCTAAACAGGGGTTTTGTTTAACATAAGGTCTATGGTATACAGTAAGAAAGGATTTGGGCTTGGAGTTTGGGGTTTAAGGCTTCGGGATCAGACAGCAGTCTGTTGATCACCTATGGCACTTCCTCGGGCTCATTTCTCGGAGTGCTTGGGCGAGTTCTTCGGCGTTTTCGTGTGGATGACCAACTCCTGGGCGATCGCTGCGGTGTTTTTTGCTAGAGATGGCTCAAGTTTTTAGGGTATGGGACTTCAGCGGCTTGGGGTTCAGGGTTTAGGGTTTAGGACATCAGGCTTTAGAGTTTCGGATTTAGGTTGAGGCTTTCAGGGTTTAGGGTTTAGGACTTCAGGGTTTTGGGTTTACCTATAGTCTCCACTGTAGTTCCTTTTGGGGGATGCCTTATAAACTCCTAAATATATACTTGGTTGAACCAAAAAAGGAACTACCGTGGAGGCCACAGGTAGGGCTTATTGGGGTGCAACTAGGGCGAAGCGCTTGGGAGTTGATTTCGTCGCCCTTACGCTCGACGGACTCATACTCTAAGGCTCTATCTTGAAGAGGAATAGGGTTTAGGGTTTAGGGGTTTAAGGGTTTAGGGTTTAGGGTTTAAAGTTTAGGGGTTTAAGGGTTTAGGGTTTAGGGTTTACAAGGCTAAGTCTAAGTATCTGAGTATTCAGAGAAGGGCCCATCAAGGCAACTCAAGGAGGATCTCCAGGCCAGTTTGCATTGATGTTATACGCCTGTGACACGGATGCGATGAAGACTGTCTGCAGTTACTATAGTTAGGGCTTATAGGGTTTAGGGTAGATCAGTGACAAGGATGGAACTTCTGACGGTACCCTAAACCTGTGTTCCTGATTAGGGCATATAGCTCAGGGATTTTTCTGCAGGGGCGGGGGTCTCTTTGGGGTTTTCGGCTCGGGGTTAAGGGTCGCGCCTTGGGATCTTGACACTAAGAATCCTTAATATCCTAACGATTCTCCTTCGTAAGAAGCAGCCTACTGCTCAGTGTTCAGCGCCTATAATGTAGGGGCCTTAATAATTAGACGAGGGTTCTGGGGCCCATTACACAAAACATGTTATAAGGAACACCCCCAAATAGTAATAGTAGTTATTCAGGCCCCTATAGTACTGTTCAGTGTTCAGCGTCTATAGTAGCGTGGTGGGCTCGGCAGACCCTCGGCATCCGCGCTGAGAGGAGCTCCAAAGCTCGGCTCATGAGGCTTCTCGATCCAAGCCAACAAGGGTTTAGGGTTTAGGGTTTAGGATTTTACGGTTTAGGGTTTTAGGGTTTAAGGTTTAGGGTTTAGGATTTTAGGGTTTAGGATTTTAGGGTTTAGGATTTCAGGGTTTGAGGTTTAGGGTTTAGGATTTTAGGGTTTAGGATTTATCTGGCGGGTTTGGGGCTTTGGGTTTAAGGGAAGGAAACGTACTCTCGGAACCCATCAGCATGCTGATGTGCTCTCAGTCCACTGGCAAGAAATCCACGTGCCCATCTCGCTAATCAAACCATCAGACCAAGTACCTCCAAACTTGAACCCTTGTCTGGCAGAGAATGTATTTCTAGTAACGACTAAGGTTGATGATATAAATCCTGCTTACCCATAATGAAGAATGCACCATAATTGCAATAGTTTAGGGTCCTTAAGGTAATGCAGGATTTGCATCATCAACAGTAGTATCAACAGTAGTATTATGGTATCCTCTTGATTTAACCAATCCCACCATATAGACTCTCAGTTTCACAAAAGGATTCCTCATACTCTCTCCAAGCAGAACCATATGACTCATCTTTCAGGTCAAAACCTAAGAGCCAAGAAACCTGAGCGGATGGAAAACAAAACTCGGACCCCAATCCCTAAACAATCTCTAAACCCTATAGACCCCAAGCCCTCCCTAAACCTCAAACTCAAACCCACCCTAAACCCCAAACCCTCCCCAGGCCCCAAACCATAAAACGTCCATAAACCATCCGAAGCGGCCGGCTGGGTGTAGGTTGCTGTGGAGGCCTCACGCTTCACCGCCGCTCGTGCCACCTGCGCTCTGCGACCAGGCCCGGTTCACGCGATTCACTTTGCTGCCCTCCGTAAACAACCCTAGACCCCCCTGCCGACTAAACCCTATAAACCCTATAACACTTAAACCTTAAACCCTTAACCCGTAACCCTAACAATTCTTAAGCCCCCAAGCTCCCAAAAGGCCGAACAGTTCGGCCCTTGTTGGGGCAGAGTGCTTGCTTTATCATGTTCGGAGAGCTTTTGAATTCTGCTCCGGTCCGGGGCACCTTAACCCCAAATAACCTACCTTTTTAAGGAGTTATATAACGAAATCAAAAGAAGGATCCCTCAACAGATAGGTTTTGAAGGGTCCAGGTAGGTCTTCGGGTCAAGGGTTCCGGGTTCGGAGCTTAGGGCGGAGAACTTCGCGTTTTCGGCTTTAAGGTTTGGGGGGGATCTTGGGCAACTTTGCAACATGAGGGTCTGCGAACCTATGTAGTTCCGTACATAGGCCCTGAAGCTTACAATCTAGGACGGTTTCGGGTTTAGGAGGTTGCCTAGGCCCTGGAATTTAGCAACTTCAACAGACAGTGAAGTCTTATGGTAAGGATCCTCTCGTCTCAGAAACTAAAGTAACCAACCGAAGGTGCTGTATTGTGCTACATTTCCCGAGGGCCCCAGTTACCTAAATCATGGTTTAATGGGCTACATGTTATATGGCTGGTAACCTACTAGACAGGTACCTGGAGCCCGAGGTTTTCAAGGCCTATACAAGAGCTAGCGCCGAGGGATTTGTACTACTGTTGATGATATAAACCTTGCATTACCTTAAGGACCCCAAACTATGGGAATCATGGTCTATTCCTTTGTATGGGTAATGCAGGATTTATATCATCAACCGTAGGGGTTTGGTCGACGTCCATGAAACAGGGAGGATAGTGAAGGGGCCAGACAAGCAACTAGCTGGCAAATTGATGGATCCTAAGAAAATTTAAACTTAAGACATGCGCAACGACGACATAGACTGAAAGCAACGATATTTAAACGTGCACTTTGCTGGACTTCCCTAAGAATCCGCTCTGCTCCGCATTGTCCTGCTGAGCAGGCTTGTCATCGTAAGGGTTGGAGCTGGGATGTGGGGTAGTAGGGGCCTTAACAGTTTGAATAGTGTCGGGGGGTAAATTCTACTATAATTATAATTATAATACGGAACCATCAAAATCGTCTAGGTAATTGTTTAGGCCCCTATATTGTCTTGTTCAAGTTCAAAACACCTCGCTCGGCAAAGTATTGGCCCTGGCTGTAAGGGGATAGGACTAAACCCTAAACCCTAAACCCTAAACCCCAAACCCCTCACCTTCATGTCCTTCAAGGGCAAGTTGTCCAGATGGAAGCGATGGTTGAAGCGCCGATAGCTCCAGAGCCACACGGCCGAGCTGCTTGCCTGAACGGGTTCAGCGTTAAGCTATCTACTTGGAGCTTCATGGGTTAGGGTTTAGGGTTTAGGGTTTAGGGTTTAGGGTTTAGGGTTTAGGGTTTAGGGTTTAGGGTTTACTTGGAGGTTCATGGGTACTTAAAAGTAGGGTTATAAGTCCCTTAATATGGGTTATAACTATAGTTACCCTAATTATAACCCCACTTCTAACTACCCATGAACCTCCAAGTAGAACTTTACACTCCGCTTCCTTATGGGCTGTCTCTTTTAGGGTTGAGGTGCAAGGCGCTGGTGTGTGCAGCTTGGCATAGCATTGTCGGCTTCCTGCTTCTGGTAGAGCTTGTAACAAGCCAGAGTTATGAGTTGAGGGTCATAAGCCGGTTTAGGGTTTAGGGTTTCGGCTCATAAGCCAAGTTCCTTCAACCCTAAACCCAACACCCTAAACCCTCATCTTCATTGCAATCCTGCTCGCCTTGAGTGAGCTATGATCCGAACCGGCAAACGTAGGAATCAAAGGTCTTCTGGAGTGTAAGAGGTTTTCAACCGAAGAAATCTGCTCTAGTCTCGAGCAGAACTCCTCCTCATTGAGTCCCTGGGCTTCACATGCCTTCATTATTGGATAGTCCAGTATAGTTACTAAGGAAGTCATGATCTGGGGTCCTGGCAATAGGCGGGATCCCTAAACCCTCCTAAACCCTAAACCCTATAAACCCTAGACCCTCTAAACCTTACACATGTATATATATATAAACCGTTTCAACCCTATAAGCCCCAAGCCCTAAACCCTATAAGCCCTAAACCCATCGGAAACCACGCAAGAACACAGGATTCCTCAACATGGGACTTTGCTGCCCAAGCAACACTCCACGCGAAGCACTAACAAACACACACACACACAAACACAAAAACCGTGGGTTTAGGGGTTAAGGGCCTCGGGGTTTAGGGTTTAGGGGTTTGGGGGTTTAGGGGTTTGGGGGTTTAGGGGTTTAGGGGTTTAGGGGTTTAGGGGTTTAGGGGTTTAGGGTTTAGGGTTTAAACCGCTCAACAGATCACAATAGAACCGTGAGCCTTGAGCCGCCAAAGCCAGAAATTCCTAAACCTAAACAGGGAAGCTACCGCGTACATGGGTACTTTTCTAAATTAGGGTCCCTTTTCTGGTCCCCAACATAGTACGGCACCTTTATAAAAACGACCCCCCAAAAGGGACCCAAATTTAGAGAACTACCCACATGCTGAACCCAACATCGCAAGTCTTCTAAACCCTACTTCCATTTAAGTCCCAATCATTAAAGCTTAAACCCCAAGCCCAAAATCCTAAATCGTAACCACCGATGGACGTCAAGTTGCGGCAATGACTCCAACCCTATAAGCCCCTTCGGCTCTAAACTCCGGAAATCTCCGGAACCCTAAACCGGGTCAAGTTGCGGCGATGACTCCTGGGCCGATACTGGAACCACGTTGCAGAAGCACGCCCGTCATCAGGACAATGTAGATGAGCCTGCCCCTAAACCCTAAACCCTAAACCCTAAACCCCTAAGGGTTCTGTTAAGATTCCCTTTCAAGGGAACGGGAACCCTCGGGGTTCCTTGAAGGGTTTTGTTAAGGGGTTCTTTGAAGGGTTTAGTGTTTAGGGTTAAGGGTTTAGGTTTTTTTTAGGGTTTAGGGCTTAGGGTCCAAATAGTAAATCCTAGACCCTAAACCCTAAACCCTAAACCCTAAACCCTAAGCCCGAGGAAGGGCGACTCTCGGAGGCTCATGTAGGGGCCTTAATAAGAAGAACAGGGCTTTAGGGTATATTATACTATAGTTATAATAAGGAGACCCCAAAATAGTATAGGTAACTAATCAAAAAGGCTCCTACAGTAACACGTGGTGTCGATTTCGAGACACGAAAAACGTTCTTTCATAGTTAGGGCTCTCTATACTTTACTCAACCAGTCAGGGAAGCTAACAGTTGTCCCACAACTTAATTGTTACCTAGTCTAAGGCCTACCATAGAGCCTGCTTTTCGAAATTCGAGTTCCGGTTTTGGGTGCATGGGTTGCCAGTGCCACATCGCGGGGGCAAGACATGTGCTCCAAACACAGATAAGGACATCTTTCCCTGCGCGTGCCACTTCTCAGAAGTTTCAGAATGGCCCAACGGGAACTTGACGTTCTCTTTGAAGTCCGTTTGAATGAGAGAAGCAGTGGACGGTAGCTGGCCATCACGCAGAGCTTGCAGATATGAACCTTGAAGCCTGGCTGTGATCTGGTGCCAGTCGTACGCCTTCACAATGTCAACAGGAGGCTTGAGATTGTGAGCTGTGCGAGCTTCGGCTTGATGCAAGGACAACCGGGTCTTTCCGCTCAATGGGGGTCTATCCTCATCGTTGGAGGCTCTTGCGTGCGGTAGTTTATGTAACGGACAAAGCGGGCCAAGTCATCCCCACTCTCTCGAGTCTGTTGATTCCTCGCTACCAGAGGATTGTTGGGAAGTGTTGCCTCCAGAGTACCACTTTGTTTGGAAATGGCCTTTATCTGCAGCACGTGCGGGGAGATTATGCTTGGGATGTTACGTCAAAAAGCCGCAGACCCTATCCCCAAAACCCTAAACCCCAAACCCTAAACCCTATCCCCAAAACCCAAAAGCTTACACCCCAAAATCCTAAAGCCTAAAGGTTGGATTTAGGGCAGCTTAGGGCGACGAGTTTAGGGGCTGAAGAACTTGGAGTAACAAAAAAAACAGAACCCGAGCCATACCCTTAAGCCTACGCCGTGCTTGACACAGCTTGGGTTTAGGGTTTAGAGTTTAGGGTCGGGAGTAAGTCGAAGTACAGGAGGGCATGCAATACAGGTAGCCGCATACTGTGCAGTGCTAACTTCAAGGAACCATCCAAGTACAGTTTGCAAGGGGCGGGCTTCATCATTGATTGAAGCCTTAAAAACCAGACAGCCCTAAATTTCCAAGTATCCCAGACCCTAAACCCCGAAACTTTCTGCATCAACCCTACACCCCTAAACCCTAACCCCCCAGATAAACCCTCAGCCCCCCCCGGCGGACTGTGCTCCTACCCAAAAGCTAAAGAAACAGGACGCAACACCTACACCTCTGCCATGAAACATGAAACCTCGACCCACAAGCCCGATCCTAAGCCCCGAATCCGAAACCTAACAACCCCAAAACCCATACTCTAACTCCAATCTTTGAAAGTGGCTCCTAAACCCGCAAGCCGGAATCCCAAAGCCAAAACGTCAAAAGCCCTGAAGCCTAACTTCAACAGCCCCCACCTCAAAACCCGAAGTCATCTTCAAGTGAGCCCCAAGCCCTAAAGCATGAACCCCTTGGGGCCCCCGCAGGCCCTGCTGAATATGCCTTATCTTGGTGCTCCAGAAGACACCACCCAGATCCGCCTCGAGGGTACCAGGTTTAGGGTTTTGGGTCTTGGGTTTTGGGTTTAGGGTTTAAGGTTTGTTTAATTGCTACGTATAACAGATCCGTATGCTGCATGACTGATGATAAGCACCAGTACTAGTACTGGCTGTGCGTACTATTGATGCTGAGGATAATGATGTTCATCTAAAAAGGGCATGATGAGAATGGTGATGGTGCGGTGCTGCTGTTGATGGTGATGATGATACTGATGACGATGATGACGGTGATTATGGTGATAATCAAGACGGTGGTGGTGATGGTGATGATGCTGATGATGCTGATGCTGGTGATGATGATGATGCTGGTTAGGATGGCGATGGTGATGATGATGATGATGCTGGTGACGAAGCTGCTAGTGATGAGCCATATCACTGGAATTCTTGCGGTGTGGGGTAGTTAATATTAGTATGAGTACTTGTGTTTGTACCAGTATTAGAATCAGTACTAAGATTCGTAACCATTAGTATTAGTATCAGTAATTATCAATGTCAGTATTAGAATGAATACTAGTATTAGTATGAGTATTGCTATTAGTACACATACGAGCAGTAGCAGTCTGGTGGTAGTAGTAGCAGCAGCAGCTGTAGTGGCATTGTGTTTCTCAGAGTGGCGTGGGGGCTTTGATTGTGCCATCGTTCTGCCTCTGTCTGTGCTTTGTAATGTTTTCGAAACATGACCTTCGGACTTTAGCTTCTTGTTGTTTGTTGCTTCAGGGTTCTTGGCCTATCGTGCGTAAGACCTGGATCTTACAAGCAAAGGGCTTGAAGGACCAATTAGTGTGAATCTGTGGATCATTTGCACACGCATGTGTGCATGTGTGCACTGTACATACAGGCATAACTACCCATAATGAACCGCGATATACAACGGTCAATGTGCAGATGTACATGCGTATATTCGCTTTCAAACATACACAAGTACATAGCTGTACATGCACAAAATATGTATGTCATTACCCGGTAGTTCCTTGTTCCTATTAGGTAATCCCAAAAAGGAACTACTGTGGGGCCTATGGGTATACATATATATATATATACACACACACACACCCGAGCTCGTAGGCTCCGGAGAACCATCCCGGGGTCCGTAAAAAAATGATGGCCCACAACATGGCAACAGGAAGACGGGGCCAATATCCTCGGGGTCCGAGGAATAGTGCCGCCTGTATGGTCTTAAACGGTTTAGGGTTTGGTTAGGGAACCCTTCAGAGGGTTTAAGGGTTTAGGGTTTAGGGAACCCTTCATAGGGTTTTGCGTGGCTCAATTATGCTTGATTTCGGGGACTGAGTACTTCATGAGAGTTGGGCGTTGGCTGGACATTCAATCACGCATCACGAGGATGTATCAAGTATATGGGCTAGAGCCACAAGGCGCGATATTATTTATGAAAGCTGGCTTCTGAAACCATCCATGGACCCGCGAAACCCCTAGAACTCCTGCTCCAACCTTCGTCTAACATAGGGGCCTTCCTTGATAATTAGAATAGGGTTTTAGGCCCCACTATACTATAGTTATTATAAGGAAAACTCGAAATAGTATTGGTAATTATTTAGGCCCCTACATTAATCAGAATCCTGTGGATTCCCGAATCCGCCTTCCTCGTCTCAGCATAGACCTTTCACTGCACAGCGTGTACCACTTGTGGTGTTCACGAAGCAGCCAAATCTACTCCAAGCAGGAAGACGGCTTGTGGCAACAGGATGGCACTTGGATGAATACCCAAAGCCGCGTAGATTTGCGTGGCATCCAACAATCATTCCTGAACCCTAAACCCTAAATTCTAGACCCTAAACCGCAAACCCTAAACCCCAATAATCATTGCATCCAGAATCCTGGCTTCAACTGCCCCAATTCGCTAGCCACGTCGTCTGAATCCCAAGCCTCTACTTGGAGGTTCATGGGTGGTTACAAGTGGGGTAATAATTAGGGTGACTATAGTTATAACCCATACTAGGGCCCTATAACCCTACTTGTAACTACCCAGGAACCTCCAAGTAGACACGCAATCCAATCCCACGTTAAGCCAGGTCGCGCAAAGGTACGCATAGACGTATCGACACCTGAGCATGCTTTGGGCTTCTACAGGTTTTAGGGTTGATACCCAAAGGCCCCATTAGCCGTTCCCTTTTAATTGTTGGTGGCTTATATTTAGGAATCCCAAATAAAGGAACTACTATGGAGCCTATCGGTATAGTTAGGTAAGCCTTCAGCCTGTGCACCGAATCTTGAACATGAAACATGGAACCTCCCCCCGCAGCTCTTTCATACATCCCTGTTGCAATCCTTGCCAAAGACGTGGCTAGGCTTAAGTGCGGAAAGCCCAACTAAGTCTCGACCTCCGCAAGAGTACGCCACTCTTCCACGAACGATGCTCAGAAGAGGGCCCAATTCAAAGGACTGCCCCTCTACAAACTCTAAATTCCGAACCTTCCAAAACGGACCGTCACGCCCCCATTTGCCGTCGTGTCCCCCAACACTCCAAAAACCAGTACAAAATGCGCAGCACAAGAACCCAAGCCTAAACCCAAAACGCTTACAGTAGAAGCCCAAAAGTTGGAAACCCAATAGCCTCAATCTTTAAAAGTAATCCAGCACGAATTGTCCTTTATCTGGTTTCTAACTTTCTGAGGCTCACTGTCAACACTCGGGAATCTTCTCGAGTCTAAACCACCCCAGACTCTTTCTGGAAAGGTCAGCTGAGGGCTGCACAGGAATCCTCAGATCGGTCTAGGGTTCAGGGCTTGACTCAAGGGAGAAAACTGAAAGAAGGCCGATTTGGGGAATCGTCTGATGTTGACAAATGTCTATGGGGTAACGGGAAGAGAATGTAAGATTTGGGGGATTTAGGGTTTGGGGATTTGGAATGATTATACCTAAACCCTATACCCTAAGCCCTAAAGTTACAATCTGGAGGTTGTTTAGGGTTCCCGGATTGGTTGTGGGACGGTTCGAGGCGTTGTCCAGTGAGGCTCGGGCTTCTGACGCGAAGTTACAAAAGGCAGACTGAATCGTCTCAGTCCTTTGAACTTGTTTTTTGGCCCTAAAAGCCAAGCCCCTTAAACCCTACCTAGACACCACACCCTGTATCCTAAACCGTGCAGTAAGCCCTGAAGGCGTTCTCGACATCGCGGCGGGGTCGCAAGCAACTGCGTGTTCTGGGCGAAACTCTCCGTAAACCCTAAACACTTTGGCTGTATAGGTATCATGAGCTGCTAACACTACGGTAGTCTTAGAAGGCTTGAGGTGATGCAGGGGCCTTAATAATCAAAAAAGAGTTTGGGTTTTTTTGCTAGAATATACTAAGGTACCCTCAAAACAGAATGGGTAATTATTTAGGCTTCTATATTGACTCTACCATAACATACCTAAAAGCCCTATGACTATGGGTTCCGGGTTCGGAGCGGGCATGCGAAAGGGCGCGCGGGGCTGACGGGCCGGGCGGGAGAATGCCTCACAAGACAATGGGAGACTATGTAGATACATACACACACATATATATATATATATATGCATATATATATATATATATGTACATATGTACTTTAACACAACATAACAAACATAATACAATACGCACAATATTCTATATAGTTCTAGTTAGTGGTGTACGACACGTAGACTGGTTAAGCATAGGGGTCCATGCGGCAGTTGAAGGATCGCGAAACTAACAAGAAGTGCTATCAAGCTAGGAGCCTTCGACCAGCTTGTATACGTCCATATATATATATATATATATTATGTGTATGTATGTATGTCTGTATGTGTGTGTGTATATATATATATATACATCGTACGCACACATTCCGGAGCAACTTACGAGATCGTTACATGACCTTGGCCGAGAGTCTTGGTGCAGTATTTCTTGGACCAGCTCCCGGCAAGCTTGGTTCAAGAACTGAAACGCCCCTTCTGGTTTCATTAACTCTCTCTCTCTCTCTCTCTTTCTCGCTCTTTCTCTCTCTCTCTCTCTCTCTCTCTCGCTCTCTCTCTCTCCCTCTCTCGCTCTCGCCCACAACCATCCCAATACAGCACTTACACTTTGCCAGTTCAGGCTAGGGCCGCTCAAAATGTAACGTCGTGCGTATCGGGGCAATGCTATGTAACTATGTTGTGCGGACGGACGGACGGATGGATGCATGGAAGTAAATAAGGAGGGAGGGAAAGACGGAGGAAGAGAGGGAAAGAGGGAGGGATGGAGGAAGGGATGGAGGGAGGGAGGGAGAGGGATGCATGGGGGCTGGATGGATCCGAATCTTCTGGGCTTTGGCACTCGATCACACAATGCAAGCACGACGCACATCATGATAGGATACTGTCCAAGCCAGGAGACCATTGAACAGGCACAGGACGGTGATCAGAGGCGAAAGCGTGCCTTGGTTGCGATGAGTCAAACGCCGGGCGTCGGTCTAGCTGTGGCAGGGCACAGAAATACTGTAGAGGCCTTCATAATTGGAATAGGGTTTCGGGGCCCATTATACAAGAGTTATAATAAGGAACCCCCAACATAGTATAGGTGATTATTCAGGCCTCTATATTAAGCCCTTTCAACAAATGAAACCATTCCTGACATGAACTATGCAATGGACTATGCAATGGAATTATTATGATCTCATTCGGCCGGGGTCAGGACCTACAGCAGAAGGTAGTAGCGGCAGTTGAGTAGTACAAGTGCTGGCACAAGACCTGCAGCACTGGCCAGCAACACTACTGCGACTACGACAAAGGCGACAACGACCTTTGCGACAGCAGCAGCAGCAGCCGCCACGGCAGCACTAGCACAAGCACCACGATCACCATGAACACTTCGGGGAGAGGGGTATGTCATTTCAAAAACGGGGCGGGGCTAGCTCCTAAACTAGGCTATTCTGCTGCCGGCTTTCGGGGAGAAGGGCGAAAGGTTTCTTTTCGCTGTCGACATCGGCTCTCAAGCGTTCATAGGTAGCTAGTATAAGTGGGATATGAAGAGGATAACTAGAGCTATAGCCCTTGTCAGGGGACTTACAACCCCGCTTACAACTACCCATGAACCTCCAAGTAAGGGTCATGGCAATAGGAAAATCCATGCAAGTAAGTGCCCAGAGTACTGACCTACGTGCAACCGAATTACAGAGCTTCAAGAGGCACTGGACGTTTATTATCAGAGCCTGAACAAGTCGAATGGGGTTTAGGGTTTAGGGTTTAGGGTTTAGGGTTGGGATTCTATTCGCAGTTGTTCCGGCCCTTGTAGTATCGCCCGACATCCTGTACAGGCTGACATTGTATGAGCCAGACCTGTCCCACGTTGGACACTGCCCCCGAAACATTCATAAATTCACAGCCTAAACCCTTCCCCCGAGACCACACTCTTGCTGAACCCCCGCCTAAACCCTGAATCCAACAATGTCTACGACCCGAACACTGAACCCACAAATCAATCGCAATTACACCCAACAGCTCCAGCTGAAAATCCTTAAGATCAACATCCAGACCAGACATGCTGCGTCTGAGGCTTTAGGCTTTAGGCTTTAGGGTTTAGGGCTCAGAGTTTAGAGGTTCGATGCCGAGAGGCAGAACACTAGGCCAGTCACAGCAATCAGGGTGTGACGGGCACTTCGTGAGCCCATGCCTTGGATGGACTTGCTGTTTAGCTCCCGGGGTTTGTACAAGTAATAACTAGGGTTTTGAGATGACTCTAATGGCTTATGGGTTGGGGGTTGGGGAGGTTCACTGTAGGTAGGGCTCAAGGGTTAGGGGCCTAGGGCCTAGGGTTTATGGTTTAGGGTTTATAGGCTTATAGGGTCATGCTCGATCCATCACCCTCCGATACTAGCAATATTCACCGCAATCCAATCGGAAACCAGTCTAATGTAGACACTGGTAATTACCCGCCCTTCCTCAAACACGGACTGTAATCTGCTAGTGAATGGGACCCCATCATTCATCTGCCCACAAAGGATCGGGCTGGATAATCGGCATTGGTCGGTCTACATTAATTCAACCTTATTCCATGCCTCCCACCCATATCGGACGAATGACCCCGGCACAAAATCCTCGCAGACCGCTCTCGAGCCTTCATAACCACATCAAAAACTTATAACCCCTAAGCCCTAAACCCTATAGCCCTCTGGGACCTTCCAGAAGGATGAACCCCTGCGCCCTGAACCTACGCCCAACTCTGAACTCCAATAGCCCTAATGGCCTTACCCATAGGCCCCATGGTAGTTCCTTTTGGGGATTACCTAATAGGATCCTAAATATAGGCCACAAAAAGGAACTACTATGGGGCCCATGGGTAAAGCATATAGATTCTGGTGTCAAGCTGAGTGTTATCGCCAAAACCAAACAGAATCATTACACCAAACGCAGAAATCCTCATACAACCCTTGCAAACTGCCATAAGACCCCTGCACCCTGCACCCGATACCCTCCACCGTAAACTCCTACTCTTATAGAGGTTCCTAAAGCTGCCGGGACCCTCAAATCTGCGAATTGTGAAACCCCAAAACGAGAGTGCGAACCTTCTCATGCAAGGAGGCTTCTGGCAGTCAGTCGGGGCAAATGAAGGCTGAGGAACTCTCTGAAAATCCTAAGAATGACACCAATAACTTACTGCAATTTAGGGTTTAGGGTATGAACAACCCTACAATAAAGCCTCCTAGCATAAGTTCTGTTGAAAGCGACCATGAAAACCTTTACAAACAAAACTGAAGGACCACCCAGAAAGCCCTTACCGATGAGGATGACGGACCACAGCAGACAATAAACCTTAAACCCATAAGACCCGAACAAATGACGATGGTAGACCCTAAACCCTAAACCCTAGACCCTAAACCCCAAACTCGCAACACCTCTATATACAAGCCAGGATGGCCATTCAAAGCCATATTCGTACATACCACTCTCCTAAGCCCAATGAGGGAAACTAGACCAAAGGCCTAGGGTTTAGGGTTTAGGGTTCTACCGAGCAAACGAAGAGGAGGGACCATAGTAGTCTTGATCTTCTGGCTCTGCTCTTTCTCGCGCCTTCTCATCAGAGCACACCTGGCAGGAGTACTACTGCGGACGCAAGTAATCTGGGCTTACTTTAGGGACAATCTAGGGTCTATAGGGTTTAGGGCTTAGTAATTAGGATTGCAAGCAATGTAGGGGCCTCAACAATTGTACTAGGATTTCATGGGGCACTATCATGTCTTGCAGAGTTTTTGAGAAGAGTTCTTTACTGGCTCAATCACCGCAACCCTCTGCCAATGCCCGTAGATGGCAGACTAAACCCTAAGCCCTAAGAGCTGCGGAAGCCGAGAGAAACCCTGCGCCGGCCTTTCGGTAGCCGAGATATTTCGCCAGGGGCATGTACCGCATCATGTTCATGACGTGGGTGCCCCACCTGAGACCCAAGGCAAACTCTGCAAATTGCTTCCCCTAAACCCTAAACCCTAAACCCTAAACCCTACACCCTATACCCTAAACCCTAAACCCTACACCCTAAACCCTAAACCCTAAGGTTCGGATGTAACTGATGTAAACTTCAGGGAAAGGCCTAGGCCGAGGAAAAAGATTCCGCAAAGGCCTCGGTTGAGATTCGAAAGGCCTTGTAGCCCTGAAGGTTTACCTAGGGTTTAGGGGTTTAGGGTTTAGGGTTTAGGATTTAACTTAACCCCAAAATAACCTACCGTTTTAAGGACGTATATAAAGACATCATAATAAGGAACCCTAAAAAGGTAGGTTCTTTGTAGCCCTAAACCCGAAGGTTGCAAAGACCCGATCCCAAGCATTTGGAATTCACTCTGGGCCAACATCGCGAGTTCCAGTTGAGGTCCTACTTCAGTGTGGAAGTCGACGATTTCAGGACTTGATTTGCTGATTGGGGCTTAGAGTTATGCGGATTTGCCGTAATTCGCCCCGAGTTCTCAATAATGAGGTGCTTGACTTGGGTGCCGGATTAGTCGTATTTCTAGCTCTGCATTTTGGGTGGTATGCCTAGTGCGTATTGCGGACGGCCCCGTTCAAGCCCAAAACATCCGGTTGATGATATAAATCCAGCATTACCCTAGGACCCCCAAATATAGGAATTATGGTATATTCTTCATTATGGGTAATGCAGGATTTATATCATCAGCCGTAGTGTGGGCACCTGGGCGTTTAGGAATCGTGGGAGCTAGGATTAGGCGGACCCTTGGGGATATAGACCCTCTCAATAAGGTCCATTTTAAGAGAGACAAAAGTAGGTTCAGAAGGGGTGCCCTTTAACCCTAAACCCTAAACCCTAAACCCTAAACCCTAAAGGGGTACCCCTAATAATACTACCTAAATTGTGGCGTTGGACTTGGGATGACTGAGGCCCTGGCAGAGGCACTCTGAGCCTTTCCTAACGTGGGGGCCTTAATAACTACAATAGGGTTTGTTGGGTTATATTAAATATAGGATTTTTGGGGTTATATGAAATATAGGATTTTGGGTTATGTAAAATTAAAAGTTTGATAAGGAACCCCCAGAATAATAGGTAAGTATTGAGGCCCCTAGATTACTTCCAAGCTTCAAACAGTCTTCCTTGACTCTGCAATTGGGATGTCGACAAGCCTCTGAAATAGAAGGAGCAGAATAACCTTGCATTAAGCCATTAAGCAAGGCTGACTCATCCTGCGGTATATGGGTGGTTGTCAAAATCATGGTCCCTTTTTGGGTCCTTATTCTAATACGGCACCTATTATTTAGGGTACCCCAAAAGGAACCACAATTTTGACAACTACCCATATTCCTGCAACCCCTAATGAACCCCGAAACACTCCGAAATAAGAGCACAAACCTATGCAGAATTACAGAACCCTACAGAACCGTGACTCAAGGGCCATTGAGCTTTCTAGCATATGTGAAGCTCTCATGCTTTTGTCGAGCTGTGGGAAGCCCCGCTCCGAAAATGTGAAAGTGGCAACTATACTTCTCCGGCAATCGGATTGTAAGCCAAAGGTGTTGGGAGCACTGGCTGAGCCTGCACCCCCTACCCTAAACCCTAATTATCGTCTGACCGACTACAGGGGTTGCATGGTTGAGGTCACTGGGTTGATGGAGCCAGGCGTGAAGAATTTCAGGATATCGGGATACCTCCCTGTGCAGTTTCCTAGAGATAATAATGCTTGGTGGAACACATAAGGGGCCCGAATATTCAGTGCAAAAGCGATCCCGAATACGGTTTAGAGTTCAGGGTTTATGGGTTCAGGGTTTAGGGTTTATGGGTTCAGGGTTCAGTGAGGACCCCAATACAAGGGACAACTGATTCTCAACCCCCGGGCATTGGAAACCGAGAGGCTGAACAGGGACGTAGTTAAGGTAGAAGTGAGTGGCCGTTGGCAGTGTCGACGCCAGCAGTGAGAACACATCCGTAGGGTTCTGGCGGGATGGATGAATTTGGCAGACATAAGGCATGACGACGACAAGACTTTCGCTATTGCCGACATCACTCTACACGAATGACGGCCAGAGCGATGGTAAGCACGATGACAATGGTATCTGTTAACGAGGCTGCTCATAGAGTCAGAACAGTAGAAAGTATAGGTGACTTCATAATTGGAATAGGGCTTTGGAGTATGCAATTGATTGACAGCTGCTACCAGGGACCGTGACCCCTGGGGGCACCCAAAATCGGATATCCCAGGCTTCTCATACGAGAGACAGTACCACGACGGGCGACGGCCAGCTACATGAAGTTCAGTCGAAAGGCGAAAAAATGTGAATCATTCGTAATGAAGTGTTGCAGAGACGTCCACAGCAGGCCGGTAAGCGAAGTCAGTGCTGAAGAGAGAATGAAGCGGGAAAGAAGTCTGTGCGCATCTAATGTAGGTGTGTGTGTGTGTGTGTGTGTGTGTGTCTGTGTCTGTGTGTGTGTCTGTGTGTGTAGAGATATATATATATATACATAACTATTTATTTATGCAGAAAGAGCGCGAGAGAGAGAGAGAGAGCAAGAAGCACATATATGTGTATTATATATATATATATACACATGTTACACATGTAAATACATACATATATACATATATATATATATATACGCGTGTGTGTGTGTGTGTGTGCTCATGTATACGTGAAGGTTAGTAACTTGAATAGAGTTGTGGGGCATGTAACGGTGTGATCGAAGAGGGTCTACAAGGTGATCATATTACGCATGCAGTGCATACTTGCCGGTCCTGAATCAGCTGCGACATGCGATCCCACAAAGAAGTTCCAACGGCAGTCCTTGCTTGTTCAATCTCAGGTTCTGGAACCTTCAATCCCTAAGCCGTAGACAGACTATACCCTAAAACCTAATCCCTAAGCCATAAGACGTAAACTTGAAGACCTCAATCCCAAAACCCATTTGCGTTAAACAGAACTAGACCCTCATGGGACTTTGAACGAACCCCAAACACCTATCAAACTCATCAAGATTATATCAAACTCCCTAAACCCTGAACCTTGCAGAGACCCAAACAAAGGAGCTAACTCGTTGCACAGCACTAGTCGGGAAGGGGAGTTCGAGGGCTCAGCTTTCGACGAATTATTTAGGGTTTGGGGTTTAGGGTTTAGGGGTTTAAGGTTTAGGGGTTTAGGGTTTAGGGTTTATCATTTGTTATTTTTTGTTGAGGGCGGCGGTCGGGTTTAGCTCAGGGCTCAAGGGTTAGGGTGGCAACGAACAGGAAAGCTGCAATGAGCTTAGCTGCGACGTCTCCTTCGGATGGAAGTCTCAGAAAAGATTAGACCCCTCTTTAGCCCAGACCAGAAAGCCCTATAGCCTTCAACGAAGAGGCTAGCTAGACTCTAAAGAACAGATCCTTGTCACAAGATGTTACGAGAATCCCTATACAAGGCCCGACATGCAAAGCAAGCCCTCATTTTAAACTCCACAGGCCTTATTTGTAAAGCTTGTTTCTTTGCATTGCCCCAGGCAAAAGCCTGTAAGCCTGCACTCGAAAGCTGACGTTTCAACACATTAAACCCAAGTGACTAAGTGAAAAGCCCTCAACCCCGAACCCTCGGCCAAGGTCCTTAACCAGGCCCGGGCCCCGCAGCCCGTCGGCCCGCAACAGGCCCGCACGGGCCCGTAGGGCCCGTAGAGCCCGTAGAGCGCCCGTAGAGCCCATAGGTTAGGACCTCATAGACAAAGCCTCCCGGACCTGATGTTATGCACCATTAGATGCTTCAGCGCCCTGATGCTCATGATCGGAAATGCTCGGAAAATTCTCACCGTAATGTTAAGGACCAGCTCTCCTGGATTTTTTGGAAAATTTGGCAGTCTTGGAAATGTTGAAAAATGTCGGAAAGATAGGGGTTCCCAGATTTCCAAAAAAGTTCGCCCTGATGCCTTGGAACAAGCAAGTCCACTAGGTCTAGCAATGTTGAAAATTTCGAAATTTTTGAAATCTTGAAATTAAGATACTTTTCTACCACTGTTCGGTGTTCGTTCAAAAATATTTTGTATTATCTATCCTTCTACTCCTACTAAATTGAATGAGTTGAGCGTACTAAGTAAGTAAGTGTAATTACGAAATTTAAACTTCAATTCAACTCAAACTTTCTGAACCTTTTGATCTTCTAACATAAGCTCAACAGAAAGGTGATCACGATCGTTATTAGCACGTTTACAACCAGTGCTGCTATTGCCACTACTACTACTACTACTACTACTACTACTACTACTACGAACACCATTGTTATTTTGGCATTACTACTGTTCACCAGGTTCATCAAATAAACAGCACTAATCCCACCAAGAAGAGTTAAACCTTTTTCAACTGAATGAGATAATTGAACTTAGGTAGGGGTAAAAGTGTTTTCGGGCGAGAGAGATTTGGTGGTTGACACCAATGTATATATGTATGTATGTATATATATATATATCAAATTACAAAAGTAATACTATGTAATTTGCCCTATGCATCCAACCACCACAAAAAAACGTGGGCCTGGGGTTAAACTGGGCCGCTCGAAAAGTCGGTTTGAACGACCACGTTTAGCCCTTCAAGAGTAGTAGTAAAGATAAATAAACCCTAATGCATTCAAAGTGATTACAAGAGAAGGATTGTAGATATGAGCATTTAGTTAAATAAGTAATAAAAGATGATGAATAATAACAATAATCGTAATCATAATAAAGATACTAATAACAAGAGTAACAGTAACAAAGTTTACATCGTTCTAATCCATTCAAGAGTTTTTAAATACAACAAGAGTAGTAGAAATAAGTGTTTATGTAATAGTTCATCAAAGTATCAGTACCGAAAGAGTCAAAAGATTAGTAGTAAAT